CCCTGTGCCCACGCTGCTGGGGATGCAGCCCAGGGCACGGTTGGCCTGCTGGGCTGCCAGCGCACACTGCTGGGTCGTGTCCAGCTTTTCATCCCCCAGCACCCCCAGGTACTTCTCCTCACGGGTACCTGATGCTCCAGGAGACTCTCTAGGACACTGTAAAATTGTTCAGATTCAATGCCCAATACTTCACACTGAGTCAAGACAGCTTTCGCAGACTTCGAAAAAACAAGTTTCTATAGCCATCAATATATACGGTCAGAGGATGTCAGCTAAAGAGGGATGCAGAGTAAAAGACCTTAATTGCTTATCAGCTTCATGAATATATGAAGGCTGTAGGGAGATCTACGTAATAAAAGCTCTGAGTTAAAAATAAAGACATCAAAATAAGCCTGCTGTTAACAAAGAGAGGCAGAATCATGCAGAAATACCAAGGACAAAAGAAATTTTCTGCAAAATAATAATTTGAAGTATATAAAGGTGGAGAGATCTATCTTACTTAATTTCACTTGGGAGTAAGAGTTTCTGGCACCTGTACAGCTGACACCGAGACCCAGGTCTCTCCTAATGACCCAACCAACATTCAAAAAGCAGTGTGTGACTTGAAAGTCCCTGAACTTTCACAGGTCGAAACTGGGGAGAAGATGAACCAAGAGAGAAGAAAGGTAAGAAATGGGGCAGACAGAACCGTGCCAAGCACTGCTGCTGAGCAGGCAGAGCGTTTGGAGTCCAACCTTTCGTCTGGTCCAGCACAGCACCAACTTCTGCGATGCAGCTGTTGCAGGCTTATGTACCTCCACCAAGAAATTCGATTAAAATTGCCAAAATGCATACACCTGGCTCCAGAAGCATTATGTTAACAGCCACAAATAAACAAAAATCCTGGCAGCAAAATCACCCAGGGGAGCTGCAGCCTTTGATACAGGTGCCAGCAATGTGAACTGGAGTAACTGCCCAAACTTGTGAGTACAATCTTAAACTTCTAATTTTGCCATTTATGATTTCTTTACAATGGTAGGAGATTAAAAATGCTACAGTTAAAGATTAGATATAAAGCCGATGGAGAGCATCACTGCACAAACAGGTTTAACCCAGAAAACCATCACGGTGCAAAATCGATTCTTGGAAAACATCTCCTGCCAGATGGGTCTGATCAGGCAAGCTGTACAAACCCTGCAGAACAGACACGAGCTTTGTTTGCCAGCAAAGAGCAGCAGTTGTTGTGCGAAAGACTCTTAATTGCTGGAAAATTTAAACATAACTTGGATTTTGCATGTAGCTGAAATTCACTGGGCATATTTAACAACTACCACTCATCCAAAAGCCCAAATTCTGCATACAAACAACAAGCAAGAGGAGAAGTTTGTGTGAGAGGGACAAATGTTCTGTATTTGTTCTTCTTCCCTATTGCTCTGGATGTGAAAAAAAAAAAAGAACAACAGAACGACTGCACGTCAGGTACGGTATGGATTGTGAACCCTCTTCTCCACCCGCTGCCTTCTTAAGCACAACCTTCAGATCCAAAACCCTTCATGAGTGGAGAGAGAACCCTAGAAAACAAAACCACCCCCAAACAAACCAAACCAATACGGGCTGCAGATGCTGAAATAAGGTGTGTGGGAAGTACAGCACAGATGCAAGCAGAACCAGCCCTGCCCCCTGCCAAGTGCTAAAATGCTCTGCAACAGCTTTTGCTTTTACAGCAAGGCTCTCGTCCTGATGCTAGCTGGGTTTCATCTCCCACGTGTACAGGGGGACTGTCACCTCCAGGCCTACGGTGAAAAGCTCTCCGAGTCTGGTGGAGAAAAACTTCTTCATCCTGCAGTGTGGTTCGCCATCCGCCCATCAGCTCTGCACATCCCAGTTCACACTGGACACTGCAAACCCGCCCGCCAGCACCGATTTTGTGTTACTTCTGTTCTGCCAGCACAGAGGGTGCTTCTGGTCCGTGCACAGGGTTACATTTAACAACTGATCGTTTGTGCCTGCATTTAATAGAATTCACTAACACATTTTATCTACAATCACATTTCAGCTAGCACCTTTTCCTCAGTTTACGTCCCATTACCTGCAGCCTTCGGGTTCAGCAAACAGAAGCGATCACTTTTAAACAACCCACTTTTCCAAAACATCTTGGTTTCCATTCCAATGCCTAGTCGCTCAATCAAGCAAACCCTTCAAACTATTATAGACTCAGCCGAATAAACTCTTTCAATAGCTCACTTATTCTATTTATGTTCCAATATGGCTCAATCTACAAACCATATTACTCATGGTGCTTTTGTTACTATATTATTACATCTCAGAAGTTATTTCTAAGAAAAAAACAGAATTGTTTTTAGCGTATTTATCAAATTCGCTGCATTTCCACACGCGGTCTGCTGCTCCAAATGCTAACATTTCCGAGGAAGGGTGACAGATGAAAGGCACACTATTCCCTTCTGGCGCAGAAGAAAGTGATCCAAATCAGATTTGAAAGAATCAGCAATTCCAAGGCAGGAAAACGCTGAGCTGGCCTACTGATGCTCGGGGAGCTGAGAGCAAACGAGGCAGCAAGGTATCGCAGCCAGCTTCCACTGCAGCCGCCCTCCTTTTGCTGGGGAATAATCTCAAAAACATTTATAAGGATAGCTCCCTTCTTAATGCCCCTGCAAGGATGGAGTGATTAATATACAGCGCATTACAAAACAAAATGCTGCTCCACATCAGGTGCCAGAACAGCATTCTGCAGGTAGCAGTGGCAAGAGAACGTTCACTGAAAATTTAAGTGTCAGAATAAGAACAAAAGAAATACCACTCTGTAAAGTACACAGAAATCTGATTAAAAGCCTTATTTAATAGCTAGGAATTCTTTTGAGTTGCCATAGCTCACCAGAAATGCTGTAATTTAGGTTTCTTTTATTGTGAAAACTTATCAACAAGCAAATAATCTTGCCGGGCTTTGTAAGCTCAGAAGAGAGCTTTACATGTCCATTTACTGATTTCCCAGGCCACACTGAAGCTGGGTGGTCACCAGTAACACCAATGAAGACAAAAACCTAACAAGGCTTTTCTTTAACGATGAACGGATTTTCTTTTCAGAAGAGAGTGCCAACTCGCCCGCTCCCTCTGAATCCCTTGGCATTCCCAGGGCAAGACAGCTCGCTGCAGTGGTGGTAAGGCCTAGGGCTTGCACAGGTATTTAGAATTGCATTGTTTGTTTGGTTGGTTTATTTTGGGGTGTTTTTGTGTGGGTGGGTTTTTTGTTTTTATTTTGTTTGTTTGGGTCTTTTGTTTGTTTTGTTTTGTTTTGTTTTTTTAACATGTAGCACCAGACCTTTCCCACCTCGAAATACAAGGCCATTTTTGTCTTTGATTTGGGGCAAAAAATCACCCCCACGACTTTCCATGAGAGATGCAGATGATGAACAGTGACACAAGGTTTGCACATTTTACTTTGCTGCCAGTTCTCAGCAGTGCCCACCAGTACCACCCAAACTGTTGTCGGGTAGCGGCTGTGCAACATGAGTGTGTTTGAGACAAAGAAAAAGGCGGCGTGGTTTTGGTTTGAAAGACTTCTGGATAGCTTTGAATGTCAGGTGAACAACAAACAGGAAAATACCTGCTTGCTATTTATTTGAGACTCCCTGCAGGGTTTAGGGTGTCAAAAGCAGCAAGACAACTCACACACACTCTTACAACCCACTCCTGCCAAATTACTCTCACTTGCAATTTCTGGAGTGGCAAAATGAAGACATGTACGTGCCCTCATACACCTCCCTTCCATGTAGCCAAAGACCACCAGAGCTAGAAAGCCCGGCACCTTGTCCTCTCCAGGCTTGCTCCTCAGGGCAGGCCGGTAGCCAGCCAGGCCCGGGCCCGAAGCAGCCCTGCCAACGCACTGCCGAAGCCC